GTAGTATACATGTTTTTGCTGCATTCATTATTAATAGTTTCTTTTCATCATAATTAATCTCTTTGTAGATTTTGACATCTCCCAAAATAGATATCCAAACTAATTCCTTTTTGTAATATTTCAGATGTATATTTATAAAAACATCTCCCACAATACCTCAAGTGTGTTTTCACTTCCAAAACATACAGTATATGCATGAGGTTGTCCAGTTTCATAAGTGATACAGATTGTTGGTCCACTGTTAATATTTCAATCTTTATTCCTATAAATTGATGGGATGGCATCATAACTTTGTAATGCAGCAGATTTATACTGTTCACAGACGTCGTTTGAGATTTATTTTTCGAACCACAAACAACTGCCTTCCACCTCTCTGCACTAACAGTTTGTCAATTGTCTCGTAAACTTGTTGTCTGTGCTGAGCAGCGGACTTTAGCTCCTGTTTACACAGGCAAGCGTGTGTGTGTCATGTGCCAATAGAGAACAAAATATCACATGATTAATGAGAGCAGGCCGTCGCGTGTTCAGTCCGTCAGGTATGTGAGTAAGTGATGGCAGGGATCATTGATTCCCAACACCGCTCATTATTTTTAAACTGCAACCCAGATCCACCTGAGCAATATATATATCAACTTTAAAGGTACAGTGTGTAGAATTTTGTGATATCTAGTGTTGAAATTGCATGTTGCAGCTGAACACACCTCACCTCACCCTCTCCTTCCAAACATGAAAAAGAAACTGTGGCAGCCTTTAATTGTCATAAAAACTCAAAAGGTGTTTAGTTTGTCCAGTCTGGACTAATGTAAAAAAACATGGCAGCCTCCGTAGAGAGGGTTCCCTCAATGTAAATATAAAGTATTTAAATATAAAGGGTATTTTCTGGGGTAAAGAAAACTACAATTCATACAATTTAGATGAAAGGAACTAGTGAAAACATCATGAGGATTATTCTACATTAAATTTCTGCCAATAGTTCCCTTTCACCTAAATCATACACACTGGACCTTTAAGCACAGCAGACAAACCTGTTTCATGAAATACCAGCTTGGGTGGGTCAGGTGAACAAACACACCCACACACACACTCGGAGAAATATTTGCTCTTCCTTCCAGCTATTAAGTGCCACAGAAGAGTGAAGCATTTCAGTGGGAGCAACATGAGCGTTAGGGAAGATCTCCCTCACGAGTGGATGGACGAGGCCAGGGAACATGACTGGTCCCTGTCGAGAAGCAGAAAACTGTCACTGGGAGAGTTCAACCACCACCTGCCTCTGGGTGACAGCTTCGACACCCTGGAGACGGCCCTCCTGGACACTGCTCAGGTCTTCCCGCTCATGGAGACCAAGCTGTACAAGCGGCGCTGGGTCATGCTGATGGTCTTCTGTGCCTACTCCATGAGCAATGCCTTCATGTGGCTGCAGTACGGCATCATCAGCAACATCTTCATGCGCTTCTATGCTATTGACTCCCTCGCCATCGACTGGCTCTCCATGATCTACTTCCTCACCTACATCCCCCTCATCCTGCCTGTCATGTGGCTGCTCAACAACCGGGGCATCAGGGACGTGGTGGTGGTGGGGTCGGCCTTCAACTGCATCGGGGCTTGGATCAAGACGAGCACGGCGGACCCCAACATGTTCGCCATGACTTTCTTTGGCCAGTTTGTGTGTTCAGTGGCCACAGTTTGCATCCTGGGCATCCCATCCAGACTGGCATCCCTGTGGTTTGGACAGCAGGAAGTGTCCACTGCCTGTTCCATTGGCGTTCTTGGAAACCAGGTGTGTCTCTGCATGTACCTGCTGGACTCAGAGCATCTTATGTTGTATGTATTTAGTGTTCTGCAACCCTCCTTGTATTTGATCTGAATGGCATTGTGTTAAATAGAGTCAGGTACAGGTCACGTGTGCCTTGATGCGTGACTCGGTTCCTATCAGCAGGTTATAAATCACTCTCTCTGCCAGGGGGAGAAAACTTAGGGCTTCCAGCAACAGCGAGAGGAGTCTTAGAGACAAGATGCTCACTCATTTGCAGAACTAAGTACTTACACTGTTAGTTTCAGGGTTCCCCACAGACAGTAAGCATGTGGTGCATCCATAGACTGTATGGGGTGCATCGCAAGTTATTTTGTTTGTCAGCTGTGTATTGGTTTAAGCTCATAGCTTAAGGCACCTTGGGTGTGTGTGTTCAGTCCTGATGAGGTAAAACATAAGGTCCTGGTTAGTGGTCAGATGTGAATTGTGGTTAGGGATAAAGTTTTGGCTTGAATGTCCACATTGAGTGGAAGTCAACAAAAAGTCCTATGCAAATCTCTATACAAACCTATGCATTTCTCAGGTATCTGTACTTTTAAAGCATATTTATTTTCAGGTACTTTTACTTCACTACATACATCAGCAAATACCCATACTTTATCCTCCACTACATTTATACAATGTACTGCATTACATGTTCACATTTAAATTTTTTATAAGTAACTAATAACAAAAACAGCTGCACTCTCTGGTGAATAAAATCTAAACTGGATTTGGAAGAGACCACCATAGACACTCAACCATAGTAATGTACTTACCGACTGTTGCATTAGGATAGATATGTTGAATAGGCTGCACTCAGATAGTTTATTTAAAAGCAAGAGCTTACTTACTTAAACTCAAGTAGAAAGGTTCATGTGGTACTTTAACTTTTATTTGAGCACATTTTTGTCCATTTATTTGTACTTTGTGTGTGTGTGTGTGTGTGTGTGTGTGTGTGTGTGTGTGTGTGTGTGTGTGTGTGTGTTCTCCTAACCAGGGGGTTTGCGGGTGACTTGTACTGTTTGAATTGTCCACTTCTGAACAAGCTCCCACACTTTTTCAACATCACTAAAAAAATGAAAATGTAAAATTTGGCTTCATAATCCAGTTCACCTCTAAATGTTTCCTTCTAACAAGCCAATAAAAACAGTCAGTGGATGCTGAGAAAGCACAACAATTCCTATTTAACTGGCTATATATGGCTCCCCTGTGATCCCACCACCATCTGCAACACGATACATAAACAGAGATTGCTGAAGGACATCCAACCCCTCTGATGTTCTTTTAACTCTGAAGCCAAACAGTTTTTCTCTCTGCATTTGAAGTGTGTCCTCTCTCACCTGCGCCAGGCCAAACACTGCATGCCGGTCATTGTCATGCATGTTCTGATTGTGTGTTTTAGTCCCGCTCCCCGCTGCTGAACACAAAAGGACACATTGTTGTTGATGTTTTTCTCGCTCACCATGACTTTATTCCTTTTGGCTCGGATCTCCTCGACCTGATACTTCCAGGTTTTCAGGATGAAGTAGTTCACATATTCTCCCTTTGGGTGTTTTAAATATGGTTAGTGGTAACAAAAAGTAGGTGGGATTTCCATGAAGGCCTGCAAAGCTTTGAAGATCAAAGAGTTTAACAGTTTTGGCGCTAAATTAACTTCATAAGAGAGGTCATCCTTGATTTAGATGTGTGAATATGCTTTTTTCTATTTTTAACAGGTTATCAGGGCTCCATCTTCTTATCTAAGATGCATAAATATTTGCACAGTGTGTTTTCTTTGCTGTGAACACAGCAGATGTGTTACAGTGATTAAACAAACATGACTCTCCCGTTATTCTTTGGTAAAAATCATTTAAAGCTTTCTCGAGCAAAATGACCAAGAGGTAGTTTAAGGACTGCTTAAGTAGCTGATCTTTGCTAACTTAAACTCAATAAAGTGTTAACAGTGTCTAAGGTAAGGTTGTAGACGAGAGGGTAACGGGTGCAGATCCATAAATCATGGGGATTCTAACCTTCTCGTTGGATTGAAGAGGTCTGATGCACAGTGTCTGTTATTATTGCTCACTTCAGACACTTATCACTGGATTGTTCCTCCTCTTTTTGCAATTTTCCTTCTCTCACCTCTCCCCTAGAGCCAAGGGACCTCAGCTGGTGTGCCCCCTGGGATGTTCTTGAGGCTGTAGAAAGCTGAGGAAATAGACACTACTTGTGTTGTATTCACATTTGGAAAGTTTAGCAAACCTCCTTCCCTTCCACCTAATTTCTCATAAAGTCACAGTAAAATTTCTGTCAGACCCTGAGAGTGGGATGGGGTATGTTGGGGGGTTTTCAGGAGCTGAAAAGTTGGACATACATTGTAGCTTCATGTTGATTAGGTTGCTTTGCCCATGTCAGAAGATAACATAGTCTACCTACCAAAACTTTAACCCTCTGTAAAAAGAAAGAAAGTAATAAAATATTTCAACTAGTAAGTAGAGTGCATACCTGCCAAAAAACACCAAATTTCTCACACTCATAGATATCTGTCTCCAAAAATGTACCTGATTTTTTTCATCAAGATCCATGATCTCGGGAAATCAGTGAAAATGTCAAAGAAACGTAAAAAAAACCATTCTGGAACCACCTGCCTGATCAGGATTCACAGCAAATTTGAATGGGTGCTTCCCTGACCCATACCACATCCTTCCACCAAGTTCCATGGTAATCTGTTTAGTAGTTTTGTCATAATCCTGCTAACTAACGCTGATGAAAACATTTTGTTACCTTTGGATGCAAGCAGTTAGCCGAGGATAGCTCTCTGTATTCAGTCTCCTCTGCTTTAACCTTATGAGAGGGGTGTCATTCTTCTCTTCAAATCTCAGCAAGAACATGAAGGGGTGCATTTCGTAAACTCTCTGACATATGTAAAACTAAGCAATATACAGTATGCATGTACTTCTTATGTGTTTACAATAGCTGGTATACCATCAGACAGATGTCGAGGATTCAAATGTCAGTTAGATGTGAATGTTTGCTGCATCAGATCATTTTAGAAGTGGACACTAACTTTTCTAACAGAGTCAAACACTCCTTTACCTTTCTCTTTTATATTTCAACCTACTTTTACTACTGTTTTTAATTAATTGTACGTATCTGTGTATGTGTGCGTATGTGTAGTTGTCAGCTGAAGGTACAGGGTCATTATTTTAAATTTAGCGCTTCTCGCCTACAGATGGGTATCGCCATCGGGTTCCTGATCCCGCCTATCCTCGTGCCTAATGTGGACGACATGGATGAGCTGGCGCACTACATCAGAATCATGTTCTACATCAGTGCCGGAGTTGCCACCCTCATCTTTGTCCTGGTGGTGATCGGTAAGTCTTCGAGGGAAGATGATGATGCTGCTGCTCTTGTCCCCGGGCTCACTGAGTGGGTATATAAGAGCTGTCAGGGTTTTTCACTCACTCACTCATGCAGTAATAGCCCACTGCCAGTCCCCTCCAATGTCAGACAGCTCCCACAGTCATGGTTGTGAAAATACATGACGCAGATAGAGTTATCTTGACAGTTTGTGGTTTCCAGTGGTCGAGACCATGACAAAGCTGCTACCTCACCTCCCTTTGTCCCTCACAGTAATGCTTGGTTATAGCACCGATTTATTTCTAGAATAAGTTCCTCAACATTAAATTTCATTGTTTGACACAGTTTCCTTCATCCTTTCATGGTCGAGCCTCTTATCTCATCGCTGGGCTCTGTGGGCAGCTCTGCTGGAAGGCTGAATCTCCCTGAGCCGTGCTTTCTCCCATGAGCTCTGCAGCGTTACAGTCCTCTAGATGAGCAGCTGCAGTAATTGCTGTAATTGTCCAACTTCTGAAGAGATGTGTTCGGACACCCAGGGAGTCAGGAGTGTTTAATGAAATCATCCTCTCGCCCCCTCAGCTCTGTGAAATCCTCCTTTTCACCTCTATGAAGGACTAAAAGTCGCTGACAGTCAGAGGAACATGGAGAAACTTCACAGTTTATTTCTGGAAGATGCTCAGTAGCTCACAAAAAAAGATACTTGATCTTCAGTCGCAGCTTTGACCCTGTGTGAGGACACATGTTGGTGAGTTTAGGTTTCTCTCTGTGATCAGTGGAATCAATTTAATGGGGGTCAGATGCTTTTTTAATCTGAACTTTTCACTTTGTGGATTTAAATAACCCACAAATGGATCCACAGTGAGAAAAAATGGATTCCTTAAATAATCTTTGCCAATAAACCCACAATAAACCCAGCACTGACCATAGATATATAAATATATAAAGATGGATGACAGGACGGCTCCCAAAAGTGAAGCCAAAGCATCTCGATCGCCACCTGGCGACTGTCTGCAGTAACAATCCCACCTCATCCATGTTAGTGGATGGGACATGGACCAAACTACCTGCTTTTCCTCCTGAGCAATAAAATCGGGATCATTGCCAGATACTGTTTATCAAGGCTGTGATGACAACATTAATTATATCAGATAAGATAAGACAATCCAGGGACATTACAAGATGTGGTAACATTTTATTCAGAGACCACATTAATCCTAATTGGTTTATAAGGTTATAAAGTTATTATGAAATCAAAGCTGATAAAATTAGGCCTCCTGTAATGTAAAAGCACACACACACAAACACACACACTATTTCACCTGGCTTCTCTCCCTCAGATTATAATGTCCCACATCCTAAATATTCACACAACCTCCTGAAATCTGTGTTTCCCAGTGTTTCAGGAGAGACCAGAGATTCCTCCCACACAGGCCCAGGCTCAGGCCCGGAACGTGGACCCAGACGAGTACTCGTACACAGCTTCCATCTTGAGGCTGCTGTGCAACAAGCCCTTCATGCTGCTGGTGGTCACCTACGGTAAGTCTCCCCCTGCTTCATTTGACTAATGATGATTTGAATTCACATTCTATGCTCTCTAGAGCTCCAGATGACGATTGAAGTTACAATGATATTATGACAGTACTAGTCAGTACTCTGTAGGGTCATATAAAGGTCACATAAAGGGAGAAAGTCCACGTCAGATTAGTCTTCATATAATTGTGTCTATAATTGTGTCTTCATCATATTGGTGACTGTATACAGGAATATTCAGACTATTGACTTCATTCTGAATAATACGTTAGATTATGATGTTTACATCGGTTACTGAGTATATTCCATTCATATTCCTGTTTGTATGTTAAAGAGCATAAATCCCTTTAGTTTATACTTGAACAAAGGGCGTGTATCACGAAGTGCCTGACCAGACTCAGATGTTGTTGCATTATTGAGGTGAAAGGTAACAAAGAGTAGAAGTTGTCACAGACATATTCGGTTTGCAGATATGAGGATGTGTCATCATTACTCACTTCTCTTGTGCACTGCCCATGTGTAGCCGTGATCTAAAGGTCACTCTGAGATGTCAAATTGTGCTCAAAGGTTACTGTGTAATGATGATAATGTTATTGACTCACAGTTAGAAGAATATTCCTCATCAAGTCTGATTATTGGGATTTTAACATAATTTTGTGTTTATAGGGATGTTTGCACCAAGAAGTGCTGATTGCCATGTGCTGCAGTATAAACTTAAATGCTGCTAGCTGAAGTAATGACACAGTGGCTGCTTCAGACTGGACGTGTGAGGGTGTCTGTGGTATTTTTAGAAGGGTCCCATCTGGACCTTCTCCTTCCCTACAGATCTGTCAGAGTAGAGACTTTTTCCATTTGTTGTCTGCAGGCCTGAACGTCGGCTGCTTCTATGCTGTCTCCACCTTGTTGAACCGGATGATCATCGAACACTATCCTGTAAGAAAACCTGCTGACTTATGTCCTTATTTCCAACCAGATGAGCTTTGATCCTGCTTCTCTTTCCACATTTCCACACGTTTGTGTGAATCACTTTGACACTAGCAATAAACCTGCCGAGCACATGACCCTGACACAGATTACAGGATTCTCTCACACTGTTTGTTTTGACTGAAAGCTTCCAGGACAAGATAACTGCAGAATGTAAGGTGTCTTATATGGCCTGAAAAAACGGAGATGTTTCTACCGTTGTTTTAATCTCAGGGTGAAGAGGTGAATGCTGGGAGGATTGGTCTGACCATTGTCATTGCCGGCATGGTGGGGTCCCTCATTTGTGGCATTTGGCTGGACAAGACTAAAACCTACAAGTAAGACAAACATGGTTTTATTACTATTCATCTGTGCATTTTGAAAAGCAAAAGCCTCACAAAAATGAGTTTACGTTATTTCTCCAGTCACTAAGAAGGGACCAAGACTCAGCCAAACTTTCAGTGTAGTTTCTCTTCTCTTGTTTTGGTGTCATACAAATGATTATTATTACAAAAAATCCTCTCAGATTCCCGACATGCCATCAGGATGCTTTCGCTGTCAAAGCAGAAATTAGGCCCAGATTCATTTTGTTGATCCTCTTGCTCCAATTGTCCCATGTTGGGATAGACAGTGAAAGGACCATGTTATATTAACAATGTTTTGCAGCAATTATTTACGCGTGGTTGCACAAAAGACTTCACAGGAGTAAGCCTGTTGATGGCAGATGGCCCCGGGGTCTTTAGTGACTCAGGAGTGTTGATAGTCAGACACCATCCTCAATGAGCAATACGTCAGCTGCATGAAGTGAGATGAATAGTGAGGACGTTTATCTGCTCTCAAAAAAAAATTAAAATACCACTAATAAAATTTTATTAGCAGCAAATACTGAGCATAGTTTTTTATTATTATTCAATTATTATTATTGTCACTTAGGCTTGACACACTACGTGCATTTAATGCATGCAGAGGAAGTGATGCTTGTAAAAGGAAAGAGAGGAGGGAAGAGTCATGTGACACTCTTCAGTTTAACCCTGCTGTTTGCGCAGATGAGTTTTTCTTCTCTTCATGGATTTCAACACTAAATGATTTTGCTTACAAACCTTTAAGAATAAAAGTATTGATTTATCATCATTTTACATATAGACTGAGGAATGTCAGGAGATATTTCCCTGAAGTAGCCAAATGGCTTTTATTTAAATCTATACAGTAAAAACAAAAAACCTGTTGTTAAATTGTGCTGCAGGATTTCAGTGTCTAATCAGCCTGGACAGGAATGTAGGAATCGAGAGCCCTGTCACAAGATTCAGATTCTTAAATATGTTAAAGACAAATCAGATTAAAATTAACCCTTAGATGATTTTGAGACTTTATGGTCAAAATAGTATTTTGCTGTATACCACACAAACCATGTGGGCTGTGTGTAAAAGTTGTTGCTCAAATAAATTGATCCACATCCCTCCCCTCTCTTTTCAGACAGACCACCCTGCTTGTGTATCTCCTCTCGCTGATCGGCATGCTGGTCTACGCCTTCACCCTCAACCTGGGTCACCTGTGGGTGGTGTTTATCACGGCCGGAGTTTTAGGGTAGGTAACCATTAAAGAACGGAGGCCACCAAGGTCTTAAACATCACAGCCGGGGTTTGAAATCAACACCTGACAACCTTCAAGATGAGGGTAAAAATTAACTGGCATGATTTGGGTTATTTAAAGAAAAACTTTGTGGCGTGTAGCTATTCAGAATTTCTGGTATCAATAACAACTCCAAAATAATACAAATCAAAGCTGCTGTATTTAAATCAAATATCTCTGTATTATTATTGTTCATTTTTCTTTTCAGTTGCTGATCAGTTAGGGACCTGTGAAATGAAAACAGTTTGTCTCTGTGTTTATGTGACTTATGAACCTGGATCACTGCAGTACAACATTATTCTGTTCATAACAGTATTTGAGCTTCACACCGGAAAATGGCCGCTGTGTGAATATGAGCTGTGTTTCAATTTGGGGCTGCACCTTACGGTCTACGGCCCATGAAGACCACCTAGGCCTCGTAGACCACGAAGGCCAACCAGCATCACCAGCTCATCCTGCCCATGTGTACAATTAGTTGTGGAGTTGAGTTGAGGGTAATACTCAAGTGTTGGGCGTCTCATCGCTTGTCGGCACCATTACCTTTTTGAAAAGTCCTTAGTTACTGAGGTTGGGTCAGGAAGGATCCGCCAGTTCGAGCCTTGTCACTCGGGGATGAAAGGATGCAGTTGTTGGCCACATTTGAAGGACACTTCAAAATGAGACACTCTAGTTGCTGTGACGCAATCAATCTTCAAATGCAGACTCTGAAGGAAGCAGCCCCTGAATTGAGACACAGCTGTAGTCTTATATCTGGAAGTTGTTATTTAAAGCTTTGACTGTTAATGATCCCTCAGAGCTGTTCAGTTTTGTTTGTAGCTAAAAAGCTTTTTAGGCAAAGTTAACTTTGAGTTGACTCAGTCTTTTAATGTCTTTTCAAGCCTGAGGTGATAATGGATCACATGTATCACGTGAGATCTTCAGGTCTGAGCACCTCCAAAGCTTTTGTGCTCATAATGTCTGCGTGTCGTTCACGTTCTCTGCGTTTCTCTCAACAAACTCCTCAGACCACGTGCCGTGTCCTTAAAATTATTGCTATTTATGGTAAGCTGATTATGCCCATAACTGGTTTCCATAGTGATTCCTTTGTCTGGTTGAAACCCAGACAGGATTTATTATAGAGCAATATGTACTTGCACTACTTTCACACTCACTGGGCTCTTTTCTATTCCATGGTGTGGTTGAACACTCAGTGATGTTAGAGAATAAATAACTGCAGATCACACACTTTTGTTTTTGCTGTTAACTTGACCGCTGTTGTGTGTTCGCAGCTTTTTCATGACGGGTTATCTGCCTCTGGGCTTCGAGTTTGCCGTAGAGCTCACCTACCCTGAATCAGAGGGAACCTCGTCAGGGCTCCTCAACTGTTCTGCTCAGGTTCCTAATTTTTCAACATCTGTATAAAGTAACACAGTCTAACTTTGGTTTGTGTCTGTACTGTACTTATTTCTTTTTAAAACTAATTTCAGATCTTTGGAATCATTTTCACCATCTCCCAAGGGAAGATTCTCGATAAATGGGGCACTTTTGCAGGAAACATCTTTCTATGTATTTTCCTACTAATAGGATCAGTGATGACAGGTGAGATCAACTGCTTCTCTGTTTCCTCTGAAGATTTATCCTCTTAACAGTCCTGGCAACACAGATCAACTCTCCAAACAACAGGGAACACTGAACTCATGTTATTAAAAACATTCATGCATGTAATGTTAAAGTCAACTTTGAACACAACTTGTATTTCAGCCCTGAGTTATTCGTGCAGGAAGTCATAGCTTTCGTGGGATAAAGTCTCCCTCTAGTGGATGGATGAATAATCACATAGTGTTTAAGACAAATTATAATGGCACACAGTAGCGCACATATATCCACGAAGACCCATCAGTCCCCTTGTGAAACCACATTCAAATTCACTGGATTTTTATTTGGGTCTGCTCCAAATTGTACACACTCATAAATATCAAGATTTTGTCATCAAGATCTATAAATGATTCTCTGAGAAATGAATGAAAACACTGGAAAACACCCCGTCTCACAATGTTAAAGTAAGTGACATAAATTACTGGATCAACCCCCTGATCTGGATGGGCACCAGAATTTAATGGGTTCTTACTTGGGTCATACCGGAGCCCTCCATAAAATTAATGAAAATCGGTTGAGTAGTTTTTGCATAATCTTGCTTTCTAACAAAAAACAAATGTAAGCAGTGGTATAGTCTCCTTGGCCACAGTAAAAATCATTGGTTAGTTTTGAGTATCATACAGCAGAAAATAGTTTTTATAGAAATCACATGATTGCATTAAGGTTTACTTAAAACTCTCTGATGCACCTAACTGAGAGTTGCATAGGTGACATCAGGTCGTGGCTAGAAACCCCTGTGACAATTTTATATGGAAATGGACACCTTAACTTGTCTCTTGGGTTTCTGGACGTAACTCTGAGGTAATACATGACGAGTATCTTCAAGGTGCCTGCTTGGAAAAGTTTTCTGTGGCCTGTTCCTAAAATACATTGAAACACAATTCATTTCTGATCATAGACTGTATTTAAGGAAATAAACTCAGCTTCTGGGTGTGAAAGGTTTTACTGATGCGAAAGTGCTTTAAAGTGCATGGCTTTTGTTGATTCAATAGATGAACAAAATTTTCCTCATTGTTCTTGCCAACATGATCCAGCTCTTCAGTTTAACAGAAAGTCCCCCAACGCCGTAACGTTTCCCTCTCGTCTATGTGCATCACAGGACTCATCAAGGCTGACCTCCGACGGCAGAAGGCTAACCTGCAGGCCGAGATGCAGACAGTGAGCGTGAGTACATCTGTGTGTGCTACGTGAAGTCAGAGACGGGATCTTCACATCCCTGTGGTGAGGGGGATGTGTTGGGTACCACGCTGGCTCTGGGCTGAAGTCACTCTGCTGACTGCCTCCTACATTCCTCACACTGCAGTGCACGGCTGCAGGCATAGACACCAGACAACACTGGGGCTGCTCTGCTGGAACCGTTTCTGTCTCTGAACTCTCTGAAATGCTCATCACAGAAAACACAGCTCTGCTTGTGTGTGATGGCTCTTCAACTCAAACCTACAGCATGTTTTCAAACTTCTGCTATAACCACCTGGTTTCAGGTTGATGCTTGGAAAATTGCTCTTTTTTTACTTTTTTCACATTGGTGCTGTTGACAGCTCTCAAACAAACCTGTAACCAATAATAATCCTTTTTACCAATCAGTGTGAAAATATATTAATAACTCACCACAGGAAGAAATATGAAGCAGGTCATTTTGAGAACCATCTAAAACAAGATCAAATTCACTGAAACAAAAAATGTGGCCTTTGAATTTTCGAATGAATGAAGGACACATTAATTGCACAAAACTTCACATTGCGTGTCTTCACACTTGTTGGCTATTTGACAAGCATGGGGATTTCTTGCTCTTTTTACTTTTTTCTTTCTGTTTGTAATATTTCAGTTCTGACTAGAATGACACTCAGTCGAGTGCACACCTCCGCCAAGGCCCAACAGTCCCCTTGAATTTAATCAAGCTGCACCAAGTTCCATGAATGAATCACTGGGAAATCTGTGAAAATGTCAAAAAAAAAATCTTGCAAATTGTTGATTTTACAAAAAAAATCCTCGATCCACACCTTTGTCTGGATCAAGCCAAATTGTAACACTTTTTAACAAGTAACAATACAAACGCAGCTAAAAACTAATTAATAATATACTTTCTTTGTTTTATTAATGAGCCAGTTCTGTTAAATTGTTAGAAAAAAAAAGAACCAACAGTGACATGACTATTGTAATAACTGGATATTACCAACATGTATTATATATTATATAATACACAGCACTCCATATGTCCCTCACTCAGTGGCTCTTAGGTTAGCAGGCAGGTAGCAGCAGTATTAGGTGGCTGTTAGTTTGGTGGAGGCAGACTCATGGTGGTGGTGTGTGGAGGTATAGGAAGAGAAACCCCCTCAAGTCCCCTCAGAGGTGTGACCCCCAAGCTATTGTTCCAGCCTACAGGGTCCGAGGTATCGGCGCTGGACTATGGGGCCACAGCGTATAGCGGCCCCTGGCAACTACATGAAAACACAGCCTCACAAAAACAAAAACACACACCTGCAAAGGTACAAACACACACACACACACATATAATGGAATTTTGATAATTTATAAACCGTATCTTCAATGTAAAAATGCCTCTGAAACTTTCAGCACTTCACAAAACAAAGTGTGCCAGACCACACTGTGTTGTTTCATTAATTCTTTCCAAAGGTTAAGACTTATTTAATAAAGACTTATATGTAAGAAGTATTTATTTAATCAACTTTTTAAATGATCTATGTGATTAACTCACAGTACTAACTGGTAGGTTCTAGTACACGAAGGATCATATTGATGTGAGAGATGAGAAGTTAATTGTTTAACACTAAATGTAAAGAATGATTAATGCTGATGTTCTTGTGTCGTTCTGATGTGCTGACAATTTGTTTGTTTTGATGAAATACGGAACTATCTCTTTTCTCGTCTGTGGTTGTTTCTTTCCTCGTCCTTCACAGAAAATGACAGCTGATGTGGAAGAAGACGTTTCTCCACCTGAAGTCCTGAAGCAGATGAAGTTATGAAGAGGACAGACGTCGCATGACACCGTGTACAGATAAAAAAAACAATCAAATAATAACTCAACTCATATCAACATGCAAGCATTGCCACAGAGTACACTAGAAGGGTGTACCTCTTCTCAGGCTGACATCCTAACTTGCCATGTTACAAAAAGTGAAAAAAATCATCCTTATCTGAAATGTAGTGACTTCTTCCCTGGGTCATGTGCCTCCCCTCTACAAAATTTCACAGAAATCGACCCGGTAGTTTTCGAGTCATCCTGCTGAAAACAAACAACACTGAAAACATATCCCTCTTGGTGGAGATGAAAAGCTGCTGTGACGAGTGAGCACCGTGGTGGTGATGGAGTCTGTGAGGCGTTTATGAACTGAGTAAGACGGAGCACACCTGCTGTACAACATTCTGTATGTATGTATGGATGCTGCACTTCGACCATAGACTCACACTAATTATCCCAGAGCAACTTAGCACAAATGAAATCAAGCACAAGTCAATCCTGCACCCAGGGAACACACTTGGAACCTTAGAGGTATTTTTAAATCCCTACATGAAACCATGTTTCATTTCATTCAGCGTGCTGCAGACATGATAAACGCTGTCACACTCCTCATCTTATTTATACTTTTTAATGTTTCCTATCCTTTTACTGTCCTCTGATAAATGTTAATGTTTTATGCATATAATGAGCAATATTTGAACAGTGTGTTTCTTCATATGGGACCAATACTGTATGTTTTCGTGAACTGTTCTGTTTGTTTAGAAAATGAATCTTAAATGCAGACTAAGCACTGTGATGTGGTATCCTGTCGCGGCGGTGAGGTTAGCCATCGCATCCTCTCTGCCTGTTATTCAGGATCACATGGAAGTACTGTATGTACCTTTGAATCCTGCTGATTATAGATATGGTTGATGCCGTGCATCTGAGTACACTTTTGACGGTCAGTGTTGTTTTGCTGTAGACGATCTCTATAAGACGTTGAACATCTGGCACATTAAAGCCACGCTGTGTAACTTTTGCTGAGAAACAGCGCCCTCTGCAGCCAAAGGGCGTGATTACCTCTGTTTGGGTCCATGTAGGAGCGATTGTTTTTCATGTAGAGACAAATCAAAGCTTATAAATCTGTTGTGAGGTCTGACTGCGTAGTTCCACTCACTGAACTGAAACGGTGGATGTTACCCATGATCCTCAGCTTCCAGAAACCAGAAGAGCTGCTGCTAGAACAAATAGACTTAACTGTTTAGAATTCTTAATATTTTTAAGTTTCCTCTGCAAATATCAAAGATAAACCGTTTTTTTAATGATCTCTATTTCTTTTTAACTGATCTACAGTTCAACAACTTGTTGGGCCACATTCTGGCAATCAAAGCTGTGATAATCGACTATTGTGTCAACTAGCAAGATCGTACCGGCTCACCAAAGTTACATAGTTGCACCTTGTTTTAAGAATGTCCACACAGCACAAGACAGATAGGAGGAAAAGGCAAATTTATCAGTTGCCCTTTTGTCAATTTGCACAAAAAAATATTTTTATGTTTGATAGTATTTGCTTGAAAATTTGTTAAAGAGTCATGTCGTTCAAACTAGGTAACCGGTGTTTGTACAGGTTGTCAGTAACATGTGTTGTGGCCAATTGTGTTATTTCAGTGGCATTATTTTATTATAATGTTATATATGTATATATATATATATATAATTCATTTATTTCATTGTGCTGTGAAAATGTTTCTACACCTGGAGAGTTTTTGCCATGTTTTTAAAAGTACAAACATATGAGAGGAATCTATTGGAGTTTTGTTCCCCACCTCACTGGATAAACGATCATTTATTTTTCTTAAATTCTTACAAACCAAAGTGTGTGAGTGTTTTTTGGCACTTTAATCCGTCTCATTAAGACAAAGTCAGCGCTGAAAACAATATGTAAAACACCTGGCTGAGGAACCCAAATATAACATATTACACATTTATCAAAATAATGTAAAAACACAATCACACCCCTGACAACAAGATGTCTGCATATTTAACACAACTGTATTTTCTTTTAAAGTTTAGAAATACATCACATTTGCTTATTACTCTAATAGAACTTTAAAAATCATTTAACCTTATCCTAAGGTTTTATATGACAATAACAGAGCAGAAATTTAAAGGGTGTACAAACTTTCACAGAAACCCAACAATTGCTGATTTAAGTGTTTGTGATATTTTGTAATGAAGAGCATAGTTTCATAGTGTGTCTATTCAGTTCTTTGGTAAATCGTGAATTTAAAAACTGAATGGGACGCAATAGACTGAAATAAAAATCATTCTGAGAGAAATCTGCTCTGAATCATTTCTCTGATCGCTCAACTCAACACAAGTTTCAGTTTCAAACTTCTGCGTTTGTCACTGTGATCACTACTAAGACACAAAATGAACATCATAAAACCTATCTATGATATTTTTCCCTTGAAGAAACCAGCACACATCCATCACTGTAGTGTAACATGATTGTGCATTAGAGGTGACACATTTTTTAATTGCACATTCAACTCTAAAATGTCCAATTAAAAAACACTAATTACACCGAGGCCGAGTACGTGTACAGTCTTTAGAAAGTGTCACAGTTCAAAATGAAAGCACATCCACGTCTCATGTTCGTCAAGAGCAGAAGCAGCACGAACAGGACGAGTCCACTCCACAACTGTTTGGTGCTGGGACGTTAGTTGCGTTTCTTGTGTCGTGCTCCCACTTCTTCTTGAGTCTCTGGAAAACACTGGAATCCAATCAGCATTCCTACAACAGAGAAACCTGAAGACAAAAAAACAAATAGAGATGCTATTAGGGTTCTTTAATATGACATTAATGTTGTCAAAATGTTCAGTATTTTGATATTTAAAGCATCATTGTGTGACTTTTACCCTGGGCTTCATGCCTGAGAAATGAAGTGGTTTTCACATAAAGGAAAAACATTTTTTTAAACTAAATATAAGTGGAAGTTCCTCATGATCCTCGGCTTCCTGAAGGAGGAGGAGCTGCTGTCTAGAATTCTTGATATTTTGAAAGTGTCTTTGCTGAATATTGGAAATAAACATTGGTTTTTAATGACTGCTTTACTCGTGAACTTCCTGGGCCTTTGAGGCTGTTATTATAAGTTTCAAAAAATAATCTGTTCAATTTGTAAAAATAAGGTTTTTTTTATTGTGAAATATTTGAGGGAGCAGAAGATGAACGTCTTCAAACTGTATAGTACCCGTACTTATTTGAGTACACAGGACTACTTTTATATGAGGAAATAGTCATATTTATGGCCATATTCAAGGCAAAGCTATTACAAAAACACTGTGCATGGAACAGATGTTGTAAATATGAATTGATATTAATGTGAATATTGTGCAATGAATAGATGAAGTTGCATAACTGACTGTCCTTGTAAATTGAGCCTTATTATTTGCAACAATAATACATATGACCCTCCTGAGTGGGTTTTTTGGACAATATCAGGATGGTAAATCTTGGCTTCAGGAATTAAAAAGTGATCTTGGGCCTGAAAAGGTTGGTGACCACTGGTTTAAAGAGTCTTACTCACTTGCCACAATGAGCGGCGCCATGACCCCGATAGTCAGCGGGGCAGTTTTGTAGATGAAGGCTTCAGACAGAAAGTGTCCTAGCGCCAACACAAATGTCCATAAGGTGATGTGATACAGCCTGCGGGGGACAACATAGCACACAGTAACAATATATTATTTGTCGACGACCAACAGAAAGATGATGGAGAACGTGAGGAGCCATCTTACGTCTTGTTCTGAATATCAATGGCACAGGCACAGCGAATAATGGATGACAGCAATGTCCAAATACCGAATGTTCGAGCTTGGAGACCATTCACTAGGGAAATGAACGAAAAAAGGTAAGGTTGGAGTTTAGACAAATAAAGACAGACATCATCATACAGTCATCTGTTATTACTGTGACAGAGAAACAGAAGAGACCAAATCTGCCTCATTTAACCTTCATATATTTACAAAATGTATGAAGAGCCTGATCTATAAATTAGCTGGGCCAATATTAAAGTCTGATATCAGCTTATAACAAACACTATATTGGTTATAAACATTTGAATGCCAGAGTGAATAGAGGATCAGATCTGTGATGTGAAAAACTGCTCTTGAGTCTATTTGTTTGACTTTTGATGCTCCTGTACTGCAAGTGGACATCTTGTGACCAGGATGGGAAGAGTCTTCTATTTATATTTATTCATATTTAACGTACTCAAATCAAAAGTGCTCTGCAAGTTGCAGTGTCCATTAGGTTGAGTCAGCTTCACTCACCAAACTCTGGCGCGCCCGTGTAGAGTTTCTCTGACAGGAAGCTGTGATCCCTGAAACTCTGCACCGTGTTTCCCATCGCGATGATGGACACCATCACCAGCCAGCTCCGCAGGACGTTCAGGAGGCGACTCATCCTGTCTCTCTGTCTTTGTCTGACTCTCTGCCTGACTGCTTGTCTGTCTGACTGCCTGGATATGTCTGTATTTCTGTCCCTCTACCTGTGTGTCTCTGTCTCTCTGCCTGTGTGTGTGTGTCTGTCTCTCTGCCTGTCTAAGTGTCTGTCTCTCTGTCTATGTGTCTGTGTGTCTCTCTCTGTGATTGTCTCTGTCTCTCTGTCTATGTGTCTCTCTGTGTGATTGTCTCTGTCTCTCTGTCTAAGTGTCTGTCTCTCTGTCTATGTGTCTGTGTGTCTCTCTCTGTGATTGTCTCTGTCTCTCTGTCTATGTGTCTCTCTGTGTGATTGTCTCTGTCTCTCTGTCTATGTGTCTGTGTGAGAGAAGCACCTGTCAGTGATGCGAGCCGGATAAACAACTTCAAACCACACGTCAACACATCACAGCCTCTCTTCGCTAACGATACATCAACAACTAATATGTAGCATAATATAGCAGCTAATGTTGCTATATACCGGTTGATAACGCATTATGATAAATCAAACAGCATGGATGGTGGATGTATTTACCTGATGGTGTCTATCAAAGCACCGTGTGGCTGAACATCTGGGAACAACACAGAAGTACACGATGTCAAGCAGGATGTCATTTGGACCTGGACTCTGAGGTTGACCAATAAGAGAGCTCGAAGAATGGCTCCATCGAGTCGCACCACTGATGTGATTGGCCCATTCAAGAGTTATGACAACGCCTATTTTCCTTACTAACCAATAGGAATCGAGCAACCCTGTCACCTGTAGACCGAAGGCTAGGCTGCATCTAAACAAAGAAGTAGATATTGGAGCAAGAGCACAATCTGCACTGGAAGGTGTTTTCGTTAGATCTGGCGCGGCAGAAGTGGTGAAACGCGATTTTGACAAAATGATCTCGTTGAATCTGTACAAAATGTTCCAGCAGCATTTATAAACCTCGAGTAACAATTCACAACCAGTCAAACATTTCATTTTAGAACCAAGTTGATTGAAGTTAAAGCTATTCTGTCTGTAAACTGTTTTCAGCACCGTAATATGAACATGAAGGTTCACGCGTTAATTCCAATTGATTTAACCTACACGTCTTTGATTATCGGCCGCCATATTTGACACTACCTGTCACATTAGAATGTGGACATCGTCTCTGTTTTGCCCCGTGACGTTCACACGTGTTCCCACAGTGGGAGGGTGCAGCGCAAACTTTGGGTCAAGCGGACACACAAACGTCGTTCAGCCAGTGCGCATGCGCGTCGCTCTGTTGCTACTCAGTTGTTGTAGTTACCAGGAAGATTAACCGCGATGATCAGGTGGCCCTGGTGAGACTTAGCTAGCTAGCTGTTAGCACGCTCCTCCGAAATAAAAGGCAAGTTCACATTGGTGTTTATTCACATGGCGTCACTAAAACGTGTATTTCATAGTCCTTGGACTCAGCGGAAGTTAACTCGATAGCTGCCCATGTTTAATGGAGCATGTCAGAAACCGTAGTCTTTATTTAGCTAACGTTTGTGGGACTGTCTGCGTGGGTTTGGGTCTTAACGTCTCGTGTCTGTTGTGAGGTACAAACAGATAAGTTCACTGTAGAGACACAAAGCAGATGTTCTCAGCTAACTGTGTGCTAACTGTACAGCTGCTGGGGGACTGCACCAGTGTGGCAGGTTTCTCCAGCGAACCGTAATAACATGGTTGTTATCTGTCTTTCACGAGGCTGGTGTTTATATGAGCTGACACGTTTCTCTGACCGGTGTGTTTGATTTGCAGCTGGAGGTCTCAGGGGCCATGCGTAAACCTGGACACCTGATCCCTGCCAGATTCCACCGGGCAGCTCGTGCGCTTCTCCTCCCGTGAAGATGCCTGCTGTGGTCCGGGATAAAGAGGACTCTGAATCCTCCTCGGAAGACGAGCGAGAGTAAGAACAAGTTTTGCAGAATCACATTAAGGGGACTGTGTGGGTTGTGCTGGTAAAGCTCAGCGGGTCGCACACGCCACAGCATCCGTCACCTTGAAGATAAATGAGAAAAGCACCTACTCTGTGGTCATTCTGTCATGTTTTGATTTCACAGCACCAAGACTGGGCATTAAATCCATAACAGCAATCAAGGCAATGTAACAGTATAGCCAAAGTTTAATAAATCCTGGATTATATATTATATATCACATAATTGATCTTCCTCTATCCATTTAAAGCATTTAAAACTACAACCTTATAACTCATGAGCAAAAATCAGTCTTTACATTTTGATAAAATAATATTTATTATGATGATTTTTGGCCATATCGCTGGGCCGAGTCACTTCAGCACAATTCAGCAATTGCCATTTCCTGAAACATCAATTATTTGATTATTATATTATAAAATATGTACATTTCTACAATAATGATATTTTTCCCGTTAGAATGGCTTGAAAATATGGAGATGTGGTTCATTCAGAGGTTTGAAACCTGACAACACTGATGGTATCATCAGGATGTACCATCCTTTAAAACATTTTCAGGAAAATTGTTGTATTACCTCTATTACTAAGGAGGTTATGTTTTTAACCATCTCTGTTTGATTGTTGGTTGGTTTGTTTGCTTATAAGCAAGATTACACACAAACAACTGAAGAGATTTCCACAAAACTTGGTGGAAGGATGTGGAATTGTGGGTCAAGGGACAACCCATCGGAATAATAGAATAATTCATGGGTCTTGATGAAAAAAACCCCAAGCACATTAAGGGAACTGGTATCTATGTGTGTGCAGCTTGATTGAATTTAAGGGGACTTTTGAACCTTGGTGGATGTATGCGCTCTACTGCACCCTGCTTTCATAATATAGGCAGTTAATAGCTATGGAGCTCCACTGTCTGAATTAAGCAGGTTTCATTTAGTATCAGTTAGGTTCTTATCCCACTGATCCTTCTGATGCACCACTTCCTGAGATTTATCTCAGATACTGAGACGACATGGAGGAGCAAAAACATTTTCATTTTGGTTTCTTTCATTGTAACCTGCTGTAGTTTATGGAATGTGTAATCTAATCCTTGCAGGATTACGTCCTGAGCCTTGTTCAATCATTTATGCCAAGATACATTAAGACAAAATGAAAAGCCTCAGGTAACTTTTCTGTCTGCATAATTGATCAACTTTAAACTGAATGAGAGAGAAGACCATCTTGTCTTAGCTCAGGGTTGTCGACAGTTCTTTGTCATCTTGCCTGGGCCAGCTAAGTCCCTCTTAAGCTATACTTAGTCATACCTTAGAGACACTGCGCCTGCTTTTAGGCTAATTTCCATGTCCTGCATTAGTCTGGATTGCTTGGTATTAGTGTTTAACCTCTTAGTGACCAGTGCTGCATTTACTGAACACTGTAATTATTATTAAGACGTGTGATGATCAAAAAAAATCTTACATTACAATAATAACTCAGATTTTTGTATGGGGGTAGTTTTATTGGAGATTTTAAACGCTTTCCCAATATGAACACACACTAACTTCTGCTATGACAACAGGTAACGCTAAATAATGCACTGAAGGACAACAAAGTATTATATTACAGGCAAGAGGAACATAACAGACATAAAGACAAACTCAAGATGGTGCATGCAGGAGGAAACATGGCACAAGACTACACACTATTCAGAAAACATTTAATGTTTCTTTAAACTCAGCTTTTTATTGTGTTTGAAAAACATGAAACAGAATGACTCACATCTGTCAATGTGCACAATACAATGTAAACAATCAAATTATACAAACTGTTAAAGAAAGGGAAGCAAAGATTCCAGCATCTGCCCCTGATCCAGATCTGCTACAAAATGTAATGGGTTCCTCAACATTACCACCTTGGCAGCGGTAAATATTCTATTCTATTCTATTTCAATATAAAGTTAAAAAGTGCTTTACAAAGATAAAAAGAAATTAACTTAATGAAATAAAATACTGACACATTACATAAAATGAACAAAACACCAACAAAAACGATAAATGCTAAATAGTACAACAAAAAGGACATTTAATAATGTATTATTATAGTAAATTACTAGTAGTATAGTAATAATAAAGGCTTAGCAACCATCACTTTGGTAGGGTTAAGATCATTATTGTTTAAAAAGTATGACTTCACCTGCATATTTCACTTATTGTTTGTAACTCAGAAGACCAGACTTTGCTGAAACAGTGGTTGTAGCAATATTAGCTGTGGATCGAGATCATCGCATCTTGTTCGTGTAGCATCTCAATCGTCTTGACGGTGGTTTATGTTCAAAATAAACAATGTTGTGAAATACTATCAAAATAAGGGTGTGCAGTCAAGCCACCGCAGTGGAACAGATATCTGCCGTATTGTCCGACACGCCTGGATATATAAGCGGGGAGCAGCGATTATTTACATGCCTCCCTCCTTATCGAGACCCACTGTGCCTGATTGAGGTCTGCTCCATCATCGTGCTACCTTATCTTATTTCTCGCTGTAAGCAGGCTGTGTCTGGTACCATCAGATAGTCCGAAGTTTTACAAGGGTGTTTGTCAGTGCACAGGTTTGTTATTGCCCGGCACCTCCCGAAACTTGTGTGTGGTTCTGTCTTTATCTGCCCGGCTGAAATAAACACCGTGTCAGGATACATTCCTGCAGCATTAGGTAAGCTGCCCCTATAGAGAAGATCACCATCATCAGGGAATGAACGGCCAAGATTATGGGCAGGGAAATGAAACCTGGGGAGCTTCTTCATGGGATTGTTAAAGAGAATGTGTGTGCTGTGTATTTATACAGATAATTTAAACTTTGATTGTTTAGATAGTTATTATTATTGTTACTATTATAAGTTATTGTTCTGCTTTTAATTTTATTGTTTGTCCAATAGTGACCTGCCTTGCATCGCATGGAGCGGCCTTAGCAAAACCATCCCAGTACTGTTGTTTTTCCCTGAAGCTGTTGTTTCAAAAGATGGGACCATCTGCTCTGTTGGAGGTAAACAAAAATTAGTAGAATCGAACTAAACATTGTAGATTTCAATTTGTTTGATTCTAAGTATATTTTATTGTTTCAAATGTGATTTATCTCCTTAGAGCGGTACAACTTGGCCTTCAAGATCGTGCGCACCGAGAGCCGCCTGGTGCGTGGACTACTCACCAATCATGGATTCCGTGAGGTAATGTTCTTCACTGAATCATGCAA